TTCCGAGCCGTTTTCAAGGGCAGCCCCACGTAGAGCGCATTACAGTAATCCAACCATTTCACGCACATCTATGGCAGGCATCCTCAAAGGTTGTGAGGTCTGTTGGAAACTAGGCAAGTGAGGTTTATATATCTGTGAAACTAGCCAGGCTTTGAAGCTGCAAGGCCATTAAATGCTAATCAAGGTGGTCATTGCAACCTTCACACTTGCCTCAAGCAGACAGGAGCTCTCTCTCCCTCCCTGGACATCATCCCACAGGTATCTAAACCCCACTTGCCTAGTTTCTAACAGACCTCACAACCTCTGAGGATGCCTGCCACAGATGTGGGCAAAACGTCAGGAGAGAAAGCTCTGGAACAACAAGGCCAGGCAGCCCAGAAAACTCACAGCAACCCAGTGATCCCGGCCATGAAAGCCTTCGGCAATACAAGTGGAGACGATGAGTGTGTTGAGAAACAACTGCAGACAAGCAACCCACAGATCCCTCAAAATAACATCTGGTTAGCGAGAGGAAACCAGCGGAAGAGCCTGGCCTCAGTGGTTCATGACCACAACCGCCATGAGAAACCACAGCGCTGCGGCACTTGCTCTCCAATACGGAAACGTGGTCAGAGGCTGAAGGCTCCGCACTCGGCAGAACAAGCGAAGCGGGCAGAGCGGCGGGAGGAACAAACCCTGCGAGAAGGACACCCACGGGCAGTGCTGTCTGGGCCAGCTAGCTGCCATGGCCCACAATCCATGTTATCTTTGCACACATGAGACAAAACATGAACACGCCTAAGGATCTCCTTTGAAAGAGGGGAAATGTAATATGGGTAACAAGGAAAGTCAATGACAAAAGGGCAACGTGTAGGCCAGGCATGGGCAACGACTGGCCCTCTGTCGGGGTGTTTTGGACTCCAACTCCCACCATTCCTCACTGCCTCAGGCCCCTTCCTTTTCCCCCTCAGCCGCTTAAGCGGAAAAGGAAAAGGAAAGGGCCTGAGGCTGTGAGGAATGGTTTCCTTCTTCCTTCCTCCCACCCGGGACATCATTCCACAGGGAGGGAGGGAGGGAGATAGACAGATAGAGAGATCCCTGTGGAATGATGTCCCAGGCGGGATGACTTCAAACTACAAGAGAGGAGATTCCATCCGAACATGAGGAAGAACTTCCTGACTGTGAGAGCCGTTCAGCAGTGGAACTCTCTGCCCCGGAGGGAGTGTGGTGGGAGGCTCCTTCTTTGGAGGCTTTGAAACAGAGGCTAAATGGCCATCTGTCAGGGGTGATTTGAGTGCAATATTCCTGCTTCTTGGCAGAATGGGGTTGGACTGGATGATGGCCCAGGAGGTCTCTCCCAACTCTTTGATTCTAGGATTCTAGGAAGGAAGGAAGGAAGGAAGGAAGGAAGGAAGGAAGGAAGGAAGGAAGGAAGGAAGGAAGGAAGGAAGGAAGGAAGGAAGGAAGGCCCTGCTCTCGGTCCCGCCAGCCTCACAAGCGCGGCTGGTGGGGACGAGGGACAGGGCCTTCTCGGTAGCGGCCCCGCGACTCTGGAACTCTCTCCCGTCAGAGGTTAGAGCCGCCCCAACAATCCTGTCATTCAGGAAACAGGTGAAGTCGTGGTAATGGAGACAGGCTTTCGAGGAATGAGACAATGATCTGGATGGAAGACGGTGTATATTCGATTTTAGTATGACGACTGACCACTGTAGTTTTAAATATATATGCTTTTTTAATGTTTTATTGTAATGTGTACTTTGATATTTTACCAATTGTACGTGTTTTTATGGTTGGAAACCGGGCTGAGTCCCTCTTATGAGGTGAGAAGCTCGGTATATAAAACTTTGAAATAAAAAAAATTGTGTGTTGAAGGCCAGTATTAGTCCTTGTTTGTGTTTCACTGTTTATTTTATTTTCACTTGAGGTGTTTTGTGTCAAATGGCACATGTCGAGGTCTCATTTGATTTCCCTTCCTGTTTCTATTTACTTTCCCCAAACGCCATTGCATACTTTATATGGTTTGTTTGCCGTGTTGCTGCCTCACACGCTGCCCCACCACACCCTCTGAATCCGTCTGGAGAGATGGGGTAGGATGTAAACAAAGGTTGTTATGATGATGATGATGATTATTATTATTATTATTTTATTATTAACTTTATTTGTACCCCGCTAGCATCTCCCAAAGGACTCGATGCGGCTTACAAAGGCCAAGGCCTCAATACAAACATAACGTAACAAATACACAAAGCAAATCATTATTATTATGGCTATTATTATGATTGAAGCCTGGCTCTTCCTCCTGTTCACTGGAAGGGAATGAATACAGCAGGGTGGTGGCTGTGGGGGCCTCCATGGAACTGGGTGAGTGTGGTCAGGAAGGGCTGTTCAGCAGGGGAACTCTCTGCCTCGGAGTGCAGTGGGGCAAAGGCCTCCTTCCCTGGAGGCTGTGGAGCAGGGGTTCTGGGCGGCCATCTGTCGGGAGGGCTTTGCGCGTGCTTCTCCTCCTGCAGGGTGCAATAAAGGTGGTGGGGCTAGGGGCCCTGGGGGCCTCACCCCACACTCGGATGAGCACATCTCTGTATCTCTCCTTGCCTGGATGCCGGGCACCTCCCACCGCCCGTTCTGTGCTGCCCACCATCTCTGCTTCTAACGCATGTCAGTCTAACCTTAAGAGTGTATCACGTGCTAAAGGTGTGTGGCGTGTGAGGCTGTGTTTAGGAAGAGCTTGAAGACTTGGCTATTCCGGTGTGCCTTTCCAGAAGAGGAAACCCCAGCAGCACGTCCCAAAAGCACTTCACTAGAGATTTAAGCTTGTCCGCACATGGCACTCACCTAAATCTCCTATATCCCACTTGTCAGACTCAGCACTTTTAATCTGTACCCACCTACACTAGGCCCGGCCTTAGTTTTTATTGTGCTATGGCGTACTGTTTTTTTACTGTTTATCGCTATTGCTAATGTTTAGATTTGCTTTATGTTTATGTGTATTTGTTATGCTGTTGTTTTATTGAGGCCTTGGCCTTGTAAGCCGCATCGAGTCCTTCGGCAGATGCTAGCGGGGTACAAATAAAGATAATAATAATTAATAATAATAATAATAATTTATTTAAGTTGACCTGTCTGAACGTCTCTCCCTCTAAGATCCTCCTCACAGGTAAGGATGTTTTTGGGAGGCCCTGCCCTCGGTCCCACCTTCCTTGCAGGTGCGCCTGGTGGGATTGGCGAGGGGGGGCAGAGCCTCTGTGGTGGAGGCTCCTTCCTTCTTTGGAGGCTTTGAAGCAGGGGCTGGATGGCCATCTGTCAGGGGTGCTTTGAATGCAATATTCCTGCTTCTTGGCAGAATGGGGTTGGACTGGATGATGGCCCAGGAGGTCTCTTCCCACTCTTCTAGGATTCTTCCTTCCTGGCCTTCCGAAGAGAAGTGCAAACCTGTCTATGGGGGGGGGGGGGGGGGGGGTGCAATGACAGGCTTGGAATGCCTCTGGAGCAGAGTTATGGATGGTGTGGTTTATATTGGATGCAATGTTTGTAAATATTTTAAAGGCTTAATACGCTGACGATCTTAGTCAGGAGACGCCAAATATATATCTGTTTTTGCAGATATCTATTTGGCTTTTTGTATTACATTTCAAATGCTGAATTGTTTTTATAATTGTTTTGACTGTATCTTGTTATGCATCGGATCTCTGATGACGGTGAATGGCCCCGAGTCGCCCCTGGATGAGAAGAATGGCGGTATGCAAATGTGGTAAACAAACAAATGCTAAATATTAGTTTTGATTTACTTTTAATATGATCGGAACTGTCCTTGTTTTAAGGCAATGAAGCCTGCTTTAGGGTGCAGAATGGAGGGATAAAAGCAGGGTCAATAATTAATAGTTTTAATTGGGGGGGGGGTCTTGAGATTGTTTCACTCATTGTTTTGAGGTGTTATTTGATTAGGTTCTTGTGGGGGTTTTTCGGGCTATAGGGCCATGTTCTAGAGGCATTCTCTCCTGACGTTTCGCCTGCATCTGTGGCAAGCATCCTCAGAGGTTGRGAGGTCTGTTGGAAKTAGGAAAAAGGGTTKATATATCTGTRGAAACACTGGGGTGGGAMAAAGGACTCTTGTCTGCTGGAGTGAAGTGTGAATGGACTGGATTGTTGTAGGTTTTTCTAGGCTATATGGCCATGTTCTAGAGGCATTCTCTCCTGACGTTTCGCCTGCATCTACGGCAAGCATCCTCAGAGGTTGGGAGGTCTGTTGGAAGTAGGAAAATGGGTTTATATATCTGTGGAATGACCAGGGTGGGAAAAAGGACTTTTGTCTGCTGGAGCTAGGTGTGAATGTTTGCCTGAAGAAGAGAAGGATGAGAGGAGATATGGAAGCCATGTATAAATATGTGAGAGGAAGCCACAGGGAGGAGGAGGGAGCAAGCTTGTTTTCTGCTTCCTTGGAGACTAGGACGCAAGGAACAATGGCTTCAAACTACAAGAGAGGAGATTCCATCTGAACATGAGGAAGAACTTCCTGACTGAGGTCTCTTCCAACTCTAGGATTCTATCATTCTATGACTGTGAGAGCTGTTCAGCAGTGGAACTCTCTGCCCCAGAGGGAGCGTGGTGGAGGCTCCTTCTTTGGAAGCTTTGAAACAGAGGCTGGATGGCCATCTGTCAGGGGTGCTTTGAATGCAATATTCCTGCTTCTTGGCAGAATGGGGTTGGACTGGATGATGGCCCAGGAGGTCTCTTCCAACTCTTTGATTCTATGATTCTATGACCACCTTGATTAGCATTGGAATGCCTGGCTGAGCCTGGGGGAATCTTTTGTTGAGAGGTGTTAAGATGTTATTTGATTGTCTTCAGAGGGGGGGGAGGTGTTGGCCACTCTGTGACTTTGGCTGGAAACTGCCCTGAGGTCCCACCCGCCCCCCTTGATGGAGGGCCCCACCTCTCCTCCCCTCCCCCCCCCCCGAAGGGGACCCCCACCCCAGCAAGACCCCCCTCCCTCCCTCCCTCCCCCCACTCCAGGGGAGACTCACCGCGGACGCAGAGGAGGGACATGGCGGGGGGCGGAGGGGGGGTGTCTCTTCTCCTCCTCCTTCAGCGGGGCCCTTCTTCCGCCTGCCCGTCCCGGCCTGTTCCCGCGAGGCCTCCTCCTCCTCTTCCTCCGGTTCCCGCTCCGCCGCCTCCCGCGCGCCCCGGACCCGCTCCTCATGCCCCGCCCGGAGGAGGAGGGGAGGGGGACACCGCAGGCCGGGCGCGGCGGAAGGGCGAGCGAGAGGGCGGGCAGGCGGACCCAAGCGAGGAAGGCAGGAAGGCAGGAAGCAGCGAGAGGCGCGGGGAGAGCGGCACAGAAGGGGGGAGGGAGGGAGGGAGGGGCCAATGGCGGAAGGGCCGGCAGCCAATGGCAGGGCCGCGGGGGCGGGCCAGGGGCGTCTCCCTGTGCAGGCCCCGCCCTCCCCTCCCCTCCCCTCCCCTCCCCGCTGGGCAGCCAAGAGAGGCCCGCCTGACTGCCTGCCTGCTCCTTTGCCGGCCTCCAGGGGGCGCCTCCTCGGGCTCCGCCTCTTTCCTTTGCGGGCGGGCCGAGGAGGAGCCGCTCTTCCCTCCTTCCCTCCCTCCCTCCCTCCCTCCCTCCTTCCTTCCTTCAATCCTCGAGTTGGAAGAGACACCTCCTGGGCCATCCTCCAGCCCCACCCCATTCTGCCAAGAAGCAGGAAACTCACATCCAAAGCACCCCCGACAGATGGCCATCCAGCCTCTGCTTCAAAGCTTCCAAAGAAGGAAGGAGCCTCCACCACGCTCCCTCTGGGGCAGAGAGTTCCACTGCTGAACAGCTCTCACAGTCATAGAATGATAGAATCCTCGAGTTGGAAGAGACACCTCCTGGGCCATCCTCCAGTCCAACCCCATTCTGCCAAGAAGCAGGAATATTGCATTCAAAGCACCCCCGACAGATAGCCATCCAGCCTCTGCTTCAAAGCCTCCAAAGAAGGAAGGAGCCTCCACCACGCTCCCTCCGGGACAGAGAGTTCCACTGCTGAACAGATCTCTCTCACAGTCAGGAAGTTCTTCCTCATGTTCAGGTGGAATCTCCTTTCTTTCCTGTAGTTTGAAGCCATGGGGGGGGGGGGGGGGGGGGGACGTGACATATCTCAAGGAAACATTTCATTGACATTTTGCAAAAATATAGGATTTATTCCTTATTTCATATAGAGACATTTGTGTGACACGCCTACACACAGCAACCAACACAAGCATGTGTTGTGATGCACAGCTTGGAAAGCTCTGGTCTAGGTGGAGGGCAGTCCCAGGCCCCCCCCCCCCCCCCCCAGTCTCTCTTCTTCTTTGGCCAGACAGGCCTCACCTGGAACAATGGCCCTGAGTCCAGTTCTGGGAACCACAAGCCAAGGAGATGGGCTCCATGCTGGAAGGGCCCAAACCAGGGCAACTAAAGGGTCCAAAGTCTGGGGCAAACTTGGGCCCTCCCTCTGGGTGTTTTGGACTCCAACTCCCACAATTCCAAACAGGCAGTAGGCTGCTAGGGATTGTGGGAGTTGAAGTCCAAAACACCTGGAGGGAGGGCCTTTGTTGGCCCATGGAAACACTTGGCATGCAATAGGCAAAGCAGCAGCAGCAGCAGCGATGGTTCAGTGGATCAGAAGCTCCTAATCTCCTTAATTTATTGGAATAGCCACGTTTTATATTTTTAGATTCTACAGATTCTAACCTTCTTTGGAAGCTTTTAAACAGAGGCTGGATGGCCATCTGTCAGGGGTGCTTCTTGGCACAATGTGGTTGGACTGGATGATGGCCCATGAGGTCTCTTCCCACTCTTGGATTCTATGAATGTGTGACTCGCGAGGCCTGGGCGGCGACCTCCTCTCGCCAAGGTTGCTCTGTTTCTTTTGATCTATTTATTTTAATGGTTTTTCAATTGTGTGTTTGTTTGGCTCTCTTTGCTGTTTTGTTTATCTTGACACCTAATTCACTTATTTTGCTATTTCACGTGGCATTGAATGTTTGCCCTTTTGTTTCTGGGAGCTGCCCTGAGTCCCCTTGGAGAGAGAAGGTGGGCTAGAAATAAAGTTTATTACTTCTAACGGTGGTCCATACTCTGCTTACATTGAGAACAGACTACTGCAACGCACTCTTTGTGGGGCTGCCTTTGAAGACTGTTCGGAAGCTCCAAGTGGTCCAGCGAGCGGCAGCCTGGCTGCTGATCAGATCGGTGCTCCCTGTTGCGGCAGCTCCACTGGCTGGCCGCCTGCTTCCAAGCCCAGTCCCAATGGCTGGCTTTGCCCGCCCAGCCCTGAAGGGTTCTGGCCCTGCTTCCCTGCCTGAACGGGTCTCCCCCATGGACCTCCTTGTGATATTGAGCTGGAATTTAGAGGCTCCTGCCCAGGAGAGAGGACCCCAGTGATGGGCAATCTTTTGAGCTTGGTGTGTCAAAACTCGCCAAAAAACTGAGCGTAACTCAGGTGGGGTGTCATTGAGAAAAAAAACATTATAGCAAAAATATATTATTGTAATATATAACTGTATTTAATAAACTAAAAAACTAATTATTTAACTTACCTGCTTTTTTCTATAATGCCATATATCTCGGCATTATAGAAAAATTCTGGTGCAGGAGCCGAGGATGAAATGTCCTTCTCGGGATGCAACTCCATTCTTCTGTGTATGTGGCCGTGTGTCATCGAAAATGGCTATGCGTGTCAGTGCTGACACACATGTCATAGGTTCACCATCACAGCCTTAGACCCACCAACGAGAGTCCAGTACGCTGGTGTGCAAAGAGAAAAGAGCCAAGAATTTCCCCTGAATTTTCCCAAATAAATCTCACCAAAGTTGAAGAAAGGCCACCGAGTTGTATTTATTTTGTCCAGCGGGAACAGATGTCAAACCGCGATAGTTCGTCAGGAGAGACATGCAAGCAGTACATTTTAGGACATTCTTATAGAAAAACAGAGCTGTCAAAGTTCAAATTTCCCGCCCCTCAGCCGGCTTCTCTCTGATTGGCTGTTGTCATCAGCTGGAGAGGAGGTGCAGCTGGTGAAGCCACGCCTCAGCCAATCAGAAAGCCAGCACCTCTTCGAGCTTTCAGCCAATGGGAGCGGAGGAGGTGGTGTTGCAGGATATGGATTTATATATTAAGTTTTGACAGGGATCATCTCCTGTATCATCGGGGAGCTGCAGACCGGTCTCCCTGTTGTGCCGCCTCTGCGGAGTTCTGGAGAGACTTATTTTGCATAGAATTACGGAAAAAATAGACCCCTGTCTGATCCCACAGCAAGCTGGCTTCAGGAAAGGCAAAAGCTGCACATCGCAAGTGCTGAACCTGACTCAGCACAGAGAAGATGGCTTTGAAAGGCAGCAGATCACAGGAGCTGTCTTCAGAGACCTGTCAGCAGCCTATGAGACTGTGAACCACCACCGCCTCCTCCTGAGAAAAATGTTTAATATCGCAAAGGACGACCACCTCACCTGCCTCATAGGAAACCTGCTACAAAACAGGAGCTTCTTTGTTGAGTTCCAGGGCCAGAGAAGCAGATGGCGGAAACAGAAGAACGGCCTGCCTCAGGGGAGCGTGCTCGCTCCATCCATGTTCAACATCTACACAAATGACCAGCCACTGCCAGAAGGGACAGAGAGTTTCATCTATGCTGATGATCGTGCCATTACTGCTCAAGCAGGGAGCTTTGAGGTGGTAGAACAGAAGCTTTCCGAAGCTCTAGGTGCTCTTACTGCCTATTACAGGGAAAAACCAGCTGATCCCCAACCCATCTAAAACACAGACATGTGCCTTTCATCTCAAGAACAGAGAAGCATCCCGAGCTCTGAAGATCACCTGGGAAGGAATCCCACTGGAGCATTGCAGCGCACCCAAATACCTGGGAGGAGTCACTCTGGACCATGCTCTGACCTACAAGAAGCACTGCCTGAACATCAAGCAAAAAGTGGGTGCTAGAAACAATATCATACGAAAGCTGACTGGCACAACCTGGGGATCACAACCAGATACAGTGAAGACATCTGCCCTTGCGCTATGCTACTCTGCTGCTGAGTATGCATGCCCAGTGTGGAACACATCTCACCACACTAAAACAGTGGATGTGGCTTAATGAGACATGCCGCATTATCACAGGGTGTCTGCGCCCTACACCACTGGAGAAATTACACTGTTTGGCTGGAATTGCACCACCTGACATCCGGCGGGAAGTAGCAGCCAATAGTGAAAGGACCAAGGCAGAGACATCTCCAGCTCATCCCCTGTTTGGGTATCAGCCAGCAGGCCAACGACTTAAATCTAGACATAGTTTTCTAAGATCTACAGAGACACTCGCTGGAACACCTCAGCAAGCGAGAGTCCAAAAGTGGCAGGCTCAAACCCAGAACCTCAACCAATGGCTGATACCAAATGAGAGACTCCCCCCTGGGCACACAGAAGACTGGGCGACTTGGAAGGCACTGAACAGACTGCGCTCTGGCACCACGAGATGCAGAGCCAACCTTCAGAAATGGGGCCACAAAGTGGAATCCTCGACATGCGAGTGGAGAGAGGAGCAAACCACTGACCACCTGCTGCAATGCACCCTGAGCCCTGCCACATGATGCACAAGGGAGGACCTCCTTGCAGCAACACCGGAAGCACTCCAAGGGGCCAGATACTGGTCAAAGGACATTTAACCAACTACCAAACTCACAAGATGTGTATTTTTCTGTTTGTTTGCTTCGTTCTGTTAGAAATGTAATATATAATGGACTGGTTGCTCTGACACGACAAATAAATCTCCTGTGTGGGTGTGTGTTGAGGAAGAACACCTGGACACTGAAGCAATTAAGTGTGACCCACTCCCTGATGAGTGTAGATCAGGTGAAGTCTTTCTTGATGTATTCAGTGAGTGAGTGAGATGGTAAGAGAGAGAGAGAGAGAGAGAGAGAGGAGGTCTGATCAGATGACCAGAGACCAGGTGGGACTACACTACAAGAACTGCTGACTATTTACCAAGAAAGAAGCAGACAATGCATGCATTTAATGCATTGACCTTGTAAGTTATTTTTTGTGCAATGGACAATGTATATTTCCAAGGCTGGTGTGTGTGTGTGTGTTTTGTTTTTTGTTTTTTTTTGTAAAGCTGCATATTTGACTACTCAAGAGTAAAAGTTATTTTTTTCCTTCTACTCTGTGTGATTCAACTTAAGGGCTGGAGCTGGGAAGACTGCTGGGTAGCTTCCGTATAGACTAATAAACCGCAACAGGTGGACCTTTGTAGGTGCAGGTGCTTACCTACAAAGCCCTAAACGGTTTGGGACCCACCTACCTGCGTGACCGCATTTCTGTGTACGAACCCGCACGATCTCTTTGATCATCTGGAGAGGCCCTGCTCACGCTCCCACCTCCATCACAGACGCGATTGGTGGGGACGAGGGAGAGGGCCTTCTCGGTAGTGGCCCCTCAACTCTGGAACTCACATCAGGCAGGCCCCAACTCTGGCAGTCTTTAGAAGCCTGAAAATGTGGTTGTTCCAGCGTGCCTTCCTAGAATAAGGCAGCTCCCAGCAATAGGTCCCTACATGCACTTTACTAGTGATCCAGGATTGTCTGCACATTTCCTCCCTCTCTGAAAATTCTATGCTAGTCATATTTCACCTGGACGTGCTCAGCATTATTTTAAAATTTTAATTATTACATTTGGCCCAGCCATAGGTTTTAAATGTCTTTGTGCTATTGTTGATGTTTACTGGGGTTTTTTCTGCTTATTGTTTTGTATTACTGTTGTTATTGTTTTACTGCTGTTATTGTGGGCTTGGCCTCATGTAAGCCGCACCGAGTCCCTTGGGAGATGGTAGCTGGGTACAAATGAAGTATTATTATTATTATTATTATTATTATTATTATTATTAATATTATTATTAGTTGCTTTGTGTTGCTACTGAGGAGACACTAGAAATCCCATATAGTCAAAATATCATCCTTCCTAAAGTTGTGAAATCAACTTCAAAAAGCCAAAAAGGCCTCTCTCTGTTCATTTTTGTTGCTACTGAGGAGATACTAGAGATCCCATTCTTGTCAGGATTGGTCTAAAAACGAGGGAGAGAGAATCCCCTGAAGTTTGCCCAGTGCCATTTCCTGGTTTTTTGCGTATTGCACAATCGTGTCCACTATTAACGAAGCGATTCAAAATATTTTCGGAAAAAATTGGTATTCAATTCCGAATCGAACCACCAGTGCCCCCAAAATGAGTTTTGAACCATTTTTTGTCCCTGTTGAAGTGGGGAACTGCCTTCTTGCTTCTCTCTGACCTTCAAAGTGGCGGCTTTCCTGGACGACGGTCTTTGTTCCACACATTCCCTGGACGGCTGTGCTGGAGTCAGCCGAGACACAGGTACACATGTGTACAGAAGTTGATTATAAATTGTATGATTTTAACTGTATTATTTGTGTTTAGATTGGCTGCACTAATGCTGGAGCGGCCTAACTGAGAGGAGTGCGTTGCCATGGAGACGATGTAGGCTAGAGAAAGAGAAGTGGGAGGAGCTTAGAGGGGAGAGTTTGAAAAACGACAGTTTAAGTTCAGTTAGGTTTTAGGCTCCGAGGAGTGAGGAGTTAGGGTTTTGGAGTCAGAGTTAGCAGTTGAGAGAGAGAGAGAGTGGGAAGTAGAGAAGCAGTGTTTGTGAATAGTCAGAGGTTTCTTCAGTTTAGGGAGGCTGAAGGGGAAACCTAATTAGTTTCATTAGTTAGAGAGGACTAAGAGAAGCTTGTTTAGATCACTAGTTAGAAATGAACTAGGAAGGATCAAATAAGGGAAATATCCCTGTATTGATACTTTGTCCGAAGCAAGTGCTCTATGTCAAGAAGATACTGTATAACCTGAAAGAGTATAACATTCATCTAACCAAGCATTATTCTGAGTTCCATAAGAAAAGTTACAACTTGCAACCACACGCTTTGTGCTCAATAAACTTGTTAACTTTTGTTTGAAGACTGCCTCACCTCCATCAATTCTGCGTCCAGTGTGCCATTTCTCACAATATTATAGCTTACCTCACGTGGTGGCAGAAACGCAGGGGAAAGTGACCAAATAGATATACATTCTTATCTCCAGTCACGCTACAATACATATAGTGTAATTACTACTAACTGGGATCACAGGCAAGCATGGTCTGGGAGAACAAAATGAAGCGGGACGCAGGCTGATAGAATTTTGCC